GTCTCCAGTTAACATGTCTGTGCATTATACAGACATAAGAGATGTGTTGTTAGGGCGGCTATCATAAAGGGCATTCCGGTTTTCTGCTACTCTGTCCTCTCTCCTCTATTGATATGAAACTGGACTCCTTTATGTTCTCTATTTTTCTCTTCAAGAACTTCAAGAGAAAAATAGAGAACATAAAGGAGTCCAGTTTCATATCAATAGAGGAGAGAGGACAGAGTAGCAGAAAACCGGAATGCCCTTTATGATAGCCGCCCTAACAACACATCTCTTATGTCTGTATAATGCACAGACATGTTAACTGGAGACATGTTAGGTTTTTATATTAAAGTATCACAAATAACTATGATTTCCTTAACTACTAACATCATGTGTGCGAGAGAGACAACTAAAATAGTTGATGGTTAGGGCAGAGTATCTAAGTTTGTTCTCTTTGTGGCATTTGACCAGGCCAATCTGCTCCAGGTATGACTGGATATATTGATGGATGCAAGGCAAATACCTATTCATTTTCTTTAATGAGTTATTTATTATTAAAGTCTATTCTTTTTAATAAAAATTATTTCACTAACAGTACAGGAACTGTAAGAGAAACGTCACATGTTTGCAAGTCAGCTCCAAAAATGAAAGCAGACTGGTCTATTTCAACTTTCTGGTTCCCTTGTATTAGCATTCTGGTACAGCCTTTGGGCTTAAATGATACAAGAAAATATTGAAATTCATCATAAGTTTTGTAAACCAGGAAGATAAAATAAAACCACCTCCAAGTTTAGAGACATAGGGAAGTATCCCATCCAACTAAAAAGGAACTAGAGAAATCCAAAGCTAAAATGACAACATTTTAGTCTCCTTCATGATCAAAAGAGAGAAGACTGAAATAATGGCAGAAGACCGAAACAATCTGCCTGAGAAGTAGACTGACTCAAATTCCACTGACTCCGGCTTTTGGCTTTGATCTCTTTCTTGGCAGGGACAGCATATAAACAGAATCATGCATTCACGCAAAGCCCGGCACACTGCAGGTGAGCATCAGGCTCACCATATGCTGCCTTTTGCAGGACCATGGCCGTAAAGTCTGCCATCGTACAATCCCTCAAAAAATCTTTCAGCTGAGAGCAGTGATGATTGTAGCAGACCATGATTTAAAACAGTAGGGTTTTCTCCTGTATCAGAATCTGCTATCATAGAAAGCTTGCTTGTTAAGAAGATGCCCAGGGTATGTTGCAGACCATGTGGGCAGATTCTGTTTGTATTTAAGATGAATTTGAGATCATCAGTAATGCACAAAAAGTAAATAAGATCCCAAGTTACCATGCAAGTGTCTCTCATTTTCTCCATGCTGTTTGTTCATTACTTAGTATTTAACAGCACTTGGTACAGAACCTCTCCAAATTCAATTGCACCCCAATCCCAAATATTAAAGTATCAGCAGAAAACAGGAGCTGATTAATTCGTTAATTCATGCTGTGTTGATTATCATTACTGAGAAAAGGTCAAGGCAAATTTGGCTCATAGTCTAGAATTTATAAATAAGATTTCTTTTTGAACTCTAAGCTTAGAAAAAGTTTGCCTTCTTTTAAAAAAGGCCTTGATGTAACTGAAAGGAATGTCTGCCATCTCCCCTACCCACCTCCAGTGCTTCCAGGCTTCTTGCGCTGGATTTTTGTTATTTCAGTTGAGTAAGTAAATGAAATGCATTAGTGACAAAGTGAAGCTGGCATCTCTATTGTCCAAACTAACAGAAGCAAGAAGCAAAAAACCCCCAAATATTTAAGTCTCAAAAAGATAAATAAGAATTAATTTTAAAAGGTAGTGTTTAACTTGAGTTCTTGCGAAATCAAGGTATCATTTTTCTTGATGTCCCAGCGTCCCAAGGTGCTGAAAATCCTCAAGCAGTGGGGTAAATAAATGTTTCCTGCTTTATAAAAATCACTTTAGCCCTGACACTGTAAACACGTAGGAACGCCAACAGTTTACTCCCCTGAGCTGCAAGCTGAAGTCAAGGGAGCAGTTTGTGCCTGTGCACTCAAGCACCTGTAGCCACCATGGCAGGAAGGATCGGTACATGGACAGGTCTGAAACACTCAGCAGGAGCAAGACAATGACCCGTTTCTGCCCGTCTCAGCTTTGACTCAAAAGTGCCCTGTTCACGTTGGCCGGGAAGAGCTACACTGACGCCGGGCAGGAGGAAGGATGCGGCGTTGGCAGCAGAAACGCACCCTCCGTTTCCTTTCCCAGGAAAGATGGGCAGTTTCCTCTGGCTATGAAAAAGGCTCTTCCTGGCAGAGCGCCGGCGCTGCAACGGGATCTAATGACAAGCTGGGGCCCACACTAAGGGCCAAGTCTGACCTCACCGGGGGCCCAGATACTGCTGGGATCCCCCGCCCCATCCCTGGAGACCCGCACGCGGCGGCTGCCAACCTTACCCGCGCTTTGTCGGCCGCACTCAGACGCTGCCGGTGCACGAAGGGGTTGAGGACGCTGGGCGGGTAGAGGGATTGTTGCCTGGGCAGGATGAAGACCCGCTGCGCCATGCCCACGCCCGCCGCTGCTGCGGCCGCTGCCTCAGTGCACAGAGTCATGCCCCCCCGCCCGCCAGTGCGCATGAGCCGGCCGCGGGCCGCCCCCTCCGCTGAGCCTGCCCTCGGAGCCGGCGGCGCTGCCCGCCCCTTCCCTGTCCCCCAGGCCCTGGGCTAGGGGGAGCAGCCTTCCTGGGCACCACCGATTGAAAAGGAAAAAAGACTGGCATGAGTCATTTAGGGCGGTAGACTAGGAGGGACCACCAGTTCAGTCCCTGCAGTTGCACTTGACTAGGTAACGCATATTAAGTCCAAAAGAGCCCCCCAAGAGCAATCATTTAAGTATTGCCCCGTCCCCAGCCCACGCCGGCTGTAGTTCACAAGCCATCAAACACTCCTCATCAGGGACAAGGTAGGATACTGAACACTGCTAATGCCTTGAGCCCCTACAATGGCAGAAAATTTCTTAGAAGTGATATGCCCAGTTGGTCTATTCCCTTAATATCCATGCAGCTGGTTTTTAAATTATGTCATTTTTGTTCCTTCATATTTCACCATCTTCATTTCTGATGGCATCTGCAATGTGTGTGCACCTAGGATAAAAATGGGCATAAAATAAATGGAATATTTTGTAATGTGCTTTCAAGATACTATGTGGTTATTAGGAGATATAGGAGATAAATGTCTACTTGGTGCTAAAAAGGCTGTGAGGGGGAGGTACTTTTGAGTAGGGATCCTTTTAAGGTTATTCTTTACCCAGTGTTTATGGCTGAGTGTTGCTGTAACTTCCTTTGCCTTCAAACTTAATAACGCTGGTTCCCTTTCTGACCCCATGTGTGATTTCAGCCTCACTTTGAGGAACCCTATTTTGGAGCTTCATGCTACACTATCAACTATTCATTCATTCTTTCCTGACTACATTTTTCGATTTTCACCTCAGTCTTTCTCTTTTCATCTTCTTTTGGACTGTCCTGTCTCCTCTCACTGTATTTACTTGTCCAGTGCGGAGCATGTACCATATCTATCTTGGTCTGGCTTTCTGGCTTTTTTAACAATGTTCCTCCCCCCAGTAATTTTTCTGATGTCTTTTTTGCATCTATCTCTGAGCAAAACATCTCGCATCAATTTTAGCATCTTTATCTCAGTTTGTATGTGTATGAGAGCATTTACACATGCTAGGAATGCTATAAAGGCTTATTGCCATTAAACTACTGCACAGTAAGCCTTCCCTTGAAGCATGTCTACATGTGCTCTGTTCCCAGTGGCTATATCTGGTTGAGCACAGATGTTTGGTTCCCCAGAAACAAGTAGCAGTGATGCACCTTGTATCCCCCTGGCCCGTGCATGTGGAGACAAGCCCAATGCCCAGCAGGACTTCCCTGTGCAGCCAGGGGCTAGCCAAAAGCTGTCCCACTTTTGGGGCAGCTTCCAACTAGCTATCTTCCCCCTAACCCCCCTCTGCTGGACAAGGATTTCCTGGGCCATCCAGAAGCAAGACAGCTCCCAGCCAGCCCCTGGCTGCTCAGAGAAATCCCCACTCACCCTGGGGATTTGTTTCCAACAGGAAGCATGTGTAGACATGCTCCCAGGGAAGGCTTACTGCGCAGTAAAACTTTATAGCATTAACAGCATGTGTAGACATACCCTGTGCATATTTACATATTGATTTCAACATTTCTCCCCTTTAAGCAACATTTTAGAGAAAATAATGTGTAAGGCAGAATTTTTGTACAGAGAAACAGGGCTTTATATTTCTTAAGATTATTTTCTGTAATATATTTTATCATTTTAGGAATTAGAAGACACCATTCCTACGCTTCTAAAATGATTGTGTGGAGACAGTTGTATTAGAAATTTTCTTATGAATATGCTACAAATAAATCGCCTATAAAATGTAGTGGCAAATTCATTGGAACTGTAATTTTAAAGTTATGAGAACTGCATATACAGGTCAACATTTTCTCTTATCTCCTCTTCACAGTTGCTTTCATCATTTAATGTAGATCCCAATTACTTAAATGACCATACCTTATATAGAAAATTCTTTCCAACATCTTTCTCTACTATGTCTTCCCACCCATCTCTGCTATCACCATTAATGGTTTCTCCTGCAGCTTATTTTTAAGCCACCTTAATGTTTCTGCCCATCCATACATCTTTTCTGCAACATCTCTTCCCTCTCTGTTTATAACAAGGTCATTTGCTTCCACAGTAAGGATCAACCGGCCTCTTCATTCAGTAAGTCCATCATTATTACAAAAAGTATTTTATGTACCTTTATTCTTTGTCTTAGTCATTCATCCATGCTCCTGTCAAAGACTTTCATTAGATGCTCTGCAAGGATTTTTCCTTTGTTAGCAGGGGAATACATTGTTTACCAATCAAATTTGGTTAGAAAAAGAACCAAGTGTTTCAGTGCCCCATAAGAAGCAATGAGATCTGATCAGGACATTGGACTGCTTTGTTTATTTATTTTGCTCTGCCACTGATCTACTGTACCACTTTGGGTGAGTTATGTTACCTCTCTGCGGCACTAGTTTCCTTCTCACTCAATGTCAACCTTGGTTGTAAGTATTCAGACAGGCTCTCATACAATGGACCCCCCCTAACTTTGTCTGGACCTTTAAATAGTACTAATGAGTAACAAGTCACCATCTTTTTTAATTCACTTACTCTTTTGGGAAAGAACAAAACCTTTTCTACTTCAAAGCAATGTCATGAGGATTTATACATTTGTAGCTGTGAAGTTATTATTAATAGCATTCATTTTTGTCTCCAAATACAAAGCCCTATTTAGGGGGCTAATTAGGACTTCTGCCAAATTCTGGCTTCAGCTCTGCAGAGGCAGCCATACCCAGTTGTATGGGAACCTAGGGATTTATAAGATTTTCCTGTTGGCTGATTCTTTTTACCATCCCACCACAGTTATCTCTGGGCTTCCCACTGACATTTGAAAAATAAACATAGCTTACAATAAAACATAATTTACATCTAAAATAAATGTAACTATGTGTGGATTAAACAAGAAATATGGCATAATTCCTACTTCAAGATTTTTCTTTGCAACACCCCCAGGCAGTATCTATCACCTTTTGCTCCTTTATTTCATTTAGTATTGCATTCATGGGTGTGACATCTGTTATACATTCAGCTGTAGTGCTATTACAAGACTTAAGTTATCATGATTAACTATAGTTACTCTCCAGAAAGGCAAAATTCTTTTGAAAGCCCTTCAAAAGCCAGAGTCTAGGGCCAAAAATTTATAGTTAGACATGGCAGATACGTTCATAACTCCCATTCATTTAAACAAGAGGTATGTGTGTATGTTTGAAAGCAGTAATTGGATTGTGCAGCATTTTATTCATTTATTCTGAGGTATCTTTGTCCACTGTAAATGCCACTTGCTACTGGGTGACACAGAAACAACGATGGGGAGAAGTGTTCTTATAGCTGGTAAGTTTGTTCAGCCTCCTGAAGACATGGAGAATCATGGACAGCGTGAAGGAGGTTTAGTCATTAGGGTTGCATTCTCTGCCCCCTAAATTAAAACAGTGAGTTTTTAATTGAAACCCACCATTTCAGTTTAGGGATTTCTGTCACTGTTACAGAAAGGGGCCTGATGCCTTTTTTTTTTTTCTCAGTGGAGCCTGACTGCAGCCCCTGAGCTGCAGAGGGTCCTGGTCCTTCTCTCCACAGTTGCAGCCCAGCCCCCCCGGGGCACCTGAGTAGGTTGCTAGTGGGCCGGGTGCTGCCCCAGCTTGGAGGCAGTACCTGGCCTGATCTGACACCTGGGCAGGCTCTGCTGAAAAAAAAAGAAAGGGTTGGGCCCCTCACTGCTTTTGCCTTCAGCAGGCACCTGCTAAAGGCAGAAGAGGCAATGGGCTCAATCTTTTTTTTGCTGTGGAGCCTGCCCGCCTCTTCTGCGGCCAGGGGGTAAGCTGACTGATAGCTGCAATGCATTGTTGCAAACTAAACTACATCAGGATATAGTTTAGTTTGCAGCGATGCACACTCATTTAGAACACCCAAAACTCCTGCTTGTATACAGTGTGATGCCATTAAGGCACAAAAAGTGACATTTTCATCATATGTATATGGTAAAGGCATCATGTGTACAAGAGCCCTCTATGTGCAACTTAAGAATGCTGATTATTTTTAGGAGCTTTTAGCATGTACAAAAACAGATGTTTGCTGACCGGGCCTATGTCACTTAGCATACATCCTGAAAGCAGTACAGGGGCAATCAAGCTGTTAACACAAAATGCTTTTATCCTGCCAATACGAAGTGCTTGCTAAAGAGAATGGCCAGGATGAGAGTAACTGCCTAAATTCTCAAGTAGTTGGGGAGTAGATGCAGAAATTCCCCAACAGTAAAAACAGAACAAAAAAGCCAAGGGATTAGAACTATCTTTTAAAAACTCAGCCACTTGAGATAGTCAGAGGACGTGGAAGACGGCATGAGACGTGCATCGCAGAGACCAGCTGGTGGCTTCGGGAATGGTGTCTTGAAGCGGGCTTTGGCTTCCTTGACAACGACCCACACATCACGACAAGAGACATGCTCGGATGGGATGGGCTCCATCTTTCCCCTAAAGATAAGTGTGTGTTTTCTTCTAGGTTGGCGGATCTCCTTCAGAGGGCTTTAAACTAAGCTCACTGGGGGAAGGGGAAGATGAGGGCAGAGGAAGCCTTGG